CGCCTGTTTTTTTTTTTTTTTTTTTTTACTTTTCTTGGCGAAATGCAGACATTGGGTTTGATATGTGATTGCACCCTCGTCTAAAGCTTTAGGTTTAGGTTGACATATGCATATTCAAAAATATAATAATAAAAATTTTTCCACATTCTTTCAGGGTAACATTTTATTTTCTGCATCATGAGTTTAATTATAACTGATCTAAGGTAATAATAAATGGAATCTAAGCTTGACTTTTGTGGGTCAAATATTTTTTAGGTTCCAGACTAAGTATTTCCAGGGTAAGTACGGGAATCTAGACTCCTCCTTGATCTCATTTGGACCATGTCAGACCCCCACACTAGGCTTTTGTGTGGAACGCCACGACAAGATCCAGTCCTTCAGACCTGAGACTTACTGGGTCCTCCAGGCAAAGGTAATCTCTGTTTCCACCTTCCCTGACATATTAGCAACGTCTTCCTTCTGTGCCATGTTGACAGACGTGTTGTGTTTTGGTCAGGTGTTCAAAGGAAAAGACAGCCCACTGACACTGGACTGGAATAGGGTGAGGGTCTTTGACAGGGAGGTGGGCCAGATGTTCCTTAACCTGGCCAAGGCATGCAGGGAGGCCAAGGTAGGAGCAAAAACTGAGCCATGAATAGTAGATTTGGCATTGACTGATCATTATTGTCACATTTATTAATATATTTATTAACATGTTTAGTGTGTAACCTGTATTACAGTTACATTTGTTCACTTTTTGAATGTAATGATTCTGAACATTTTTAACATAATATATCTGCAGTAGGTTTTTACTGTAGGTTAGGGCTGCTTGAATATGGCAAAAATCATTACAGGGCTCCAGATGGTGGCACCACCTCTGTTTTACAACATATTGTAAAAGAACCTGTATTTCTCTCAAATTATTTTAAATACCCTTACCGTCCAATATGCACAGCCTATATACTGTATCTAATAACATTCAGAGAGAGGGTGACTTATGGAATAATAATTGGGGAAATCACTTCTGGAACAGGTTTGCACCTCTTTTTATTATGTAGTCAATTTAGTGCTCTATAGCCTAGCAGTCAACAGGATGGTAATGATGACACTGATGGTGACAGTGATGATGATGATTAGGCTATTATATTTCAATTGAAGTACAATAGAAACTGATTAATTGTGCCATGCTTTGCCATTTGTGTATGTGATTTATTTGTAGCCTGTTTTTTGTCTTAAGAATTTCTGCTCTTTGACATCTGTGGGGCTTCATGAACAGTTCAGGGCACTTGCCCAACTAGTGCCAGCTCATTTCTGGGCTGAAGTTACTAATAGCCTACTACTTAGAGAAGGACTTGATTGTAGGTTTCAGCCACTACTAACTTCAAACTGGGACTTCGCTAGTCATGAGTGGCATGTATTTTCAACCATGCTCTAAGTGTTTGATCCATTCAATCCAGACTGACTCCAACCTCTGTGCAGCGTCTCTTGTCAGAACAGCTGTATGTCAGCAGGAGGACAGCATGGTCTTCACCAGGATGACCAACAGCAAAAATGTCCCAGATTAATAATTTTCATGTATGTTCATCAGCAAGAAATCAGCAACATTTATATGTATGGATTTATTAATTTAAAGAGCCCATGGCATGCTCATTTCCAGCCTTTTAATGTTTAATCTTGGATACCTCTAGATTAGCTTTGCTCCCATCATATCTCCAAATAGTCTAATAATTTCAGAACGATAAAACCAGTGAGCCTCTTCCTAAAAACAAGAGGATAGTTTGTGAATGTGCACAACTCCTGTTGTCGGGGGTTGCGTTGAAAGTGAACAGCACAGCGAACCGCACCGGCATTAATTAATTTGAATTTCTCCTTCATAGATAGGTAAACAACTGTATATGTATGTTGGAAAAACTTAGAAGAAAGCATCTGGATGTTGTATCCAAATTTGGATTTATAACACAAGACAAAACGAGAGCACCACTGTGAGACACAGAACGCGGCCCAATAATTGTTTTATCTCAATTATTTTGTTTTTGTAATCGTTGAAAGCCAAAGTTCAAAATAAAATTGGATTAATCACCCAGTCCTACTGTAACTTTAAAATATTGAAAGTACATTCATCCTGTCTGACTAAATGTTTCAAACTGATGCCGATATTAGTATTTGAGATTTTGGAAATTCCTGTAACAAGTTAAAACTAAATGAGTTGTAACCAACTGGCAGCCAAACACTGATGACAAGACTCCAGGAAGCCACTGATGAATGAATAGTCATCATTATACAACATCTTCATAATCAAAGATTGTTATTGTTATTGGCCCCAAAATTCCAGTGCTGGTCTTGCTGTAACCCTGATTTAGGTAATTAGGAATTTATAATAGTATAGGCTATAATGTCAAAATAGTTTTTAAATTCATTTGAACCAAATTGTTATACCTCAATTTTTTTATCATTGAAGTTTAAGGGAAGTGTTGGAAATTGGCAAGAGAATTTTTACCTGATATATTCAACCAAGGCACAGTTAACTGGCTGCATCACTTCTCTTCATACAGGTGGAGTCGGTGAGTAAGAAGGAGAAGACCAAGCAGAGGCCCCAGGCCTTGAACACAGTGGAGATGTTGAGGGTGGCTAGCTCTGCCTTAGGTATATTTATAAGCAACATTTCATCAGATGCTTTTATCCTTTATCTAGTTCTGCTCTGTGTTGTGAAATGAATGAAAGTCAGATTTCTGTTATTCGAGAATATGTGCTGATGTGCTGCCACTGGTCAATGTTGGTTTATGCTGATGTTCAGCATTACTGTGGATTATGGCTGCAGCTATCAATTATCGTTAGTTAATCTTATTTTCTCGATTAATCGATCTTTTGGTCATCACATAGATTGCTTCTCCCAGCAGTGTAAATCTAAAAAGATTAAATGTATTACAAGCAGAAAAGCAGCAAATCCCCAAAATTAAGGAGGTGGAATTAGCGAATGTTAACAGTTTTTGATAAATTAATGAACTGATTAACTGCTTCAGCTGTAGTTGGGCTAATTTATGAATGAGTTTTAAAATCAGGTTTTAATGTTTAAAGGATAAGGTTGATGTCTTTTAGGGTTTTTCTTACTGTCAATTCCCATGAACAGACACAAACCAGCAACGTGTTAGTCTCTCTCAATAGCTTCTGACTTTTCTACCACGTCTTTAGCTTTCAGCACCAGGCCCACTGGTTCCTACTGAAAATGGAAATCTTTTAAAAAATGCCTCAGAGGTCTATAGTTTCATTTTTCAATAAAGACCCAGTAATTTCCTTCAGCAGCTGGTTACTGTGCTGCTTTGCAAATGTTTTTTAACAAGAGAAAGCAGTGTATTTCTTGAGAGCTGTTTTCAGCTGCAGATTAATCTTCATTTGGTGTTTTAGTGAGTATTTGTGACAGCAGGACAATGTATTTATTACAGTCTAAATGAACTAACAAACACAATATTTGTTAGTAGGATCAACCCACTGCTGATTTAGATCTTTTTGTGTTTTTTGTTGACACTAGGAAACATATAGAATATTATGGCATGAGATTAATGACTTTTCTCTTTGGCACTGAAAAATAAAGCAGTAAGGTCTAGACTTTACTTTGTAAAGTGTCCTGAGATGACTTTTGTTGTGATTTGGCGCTATACAAATAAAACTGAATTGAATTGAATTAGCACTTGCTGCAGCAGACCTGCCACACCAGCATAACATTAGTTAAAAGTGGGCTTTAACATAGCTCAGTTCTGTGAGTAAAGATACCAGTAGAGAGAAACACACAGCAGTTTGAGAGCTCCAGGTGAATTTGGGGAAGCCGCTGCTGTAGCTATGCAGCCATGCTTGGCAGTCAGAAGCCTCAATGCGAGCAGTGGCCCAGGGCAGAAGGCCGTCCTCTCCTCATGGATCTCAGCCAGAGTATGCACATCACACTCTCCTTGGCTCCACCCCTCAAATCTCTCCCCTTTGCGCCAAAACAGTGACAGAAGGACCTATTCGGTGTCTGATCAAGATGTATTGGCACAAGTGGTGTTTGGGTCTGTCTATGTTCATTTTGATAATTTGACGACGAGGAAAAACAGTTCCAGTGCCTGCAAGTAGCAAAAGGGCTGTACTTGATCTCCTCATTAAAGTAGGGGTCTGTTTGGGCATTACATGCAATTATTCAATCAGTGTGTAACCTCACATCCCCTTTAAGAGGTGTGTGAGCTTTAATGTTTGGTGCATTACTAGCATACTGACGAATTTTTCAGGTGGAATGTCAATAAGATTTTCCACTGAGGCGAAGGATGTGCTCATGTGCAAGATGAAGGCGCACAATCACTAATCAAAATAGTATTTATTATAAATACATATATATTGATGTGTACAGCACCGAATGAACACAATGTCATCTTTTTATTTTTTAAGTGTTGCATATCCTGCCAGCGCATCCCAGGGCATAACAAGCTCAGTGCACAAGCATTGTGCACCCTCATATTACCATTGTGCCCAAAATTTACCTGGACACACCCCATTTTCATCCAGACACACTTATGAGCGCAAAGTCGTCAGACTGCTGCTTGTTAAAAAGGCAAAGTGATGTCCATGTCATGGAAATGGTAATTGCACAGGTAGTAAAATAGGAAACAGACTCGCTATCTATGCTGCATGCCATGCGTTTGTTGCAAGATAGAGCCCAGAGAAATGAAACTGAAAGAAAAACTTTGGCATTGAAAAAGACTTGCGTTAACAAAGGTTTTCCAGTATTATATAACTTTTTTAATGCCAGTTTTTTTTTTCTTCAATACAAATGCTTCAATGCCAGTGTTTGCTTTTTCAGTTACTGTTTTGTTTTCAATATCAAGCTGTTTTTTCAGTGCCAAAGTGTAATGTCATCGATCAGGTGCCATAGAATATCACCAGCTTTACTCTTAAAAAAATAAAAATAAAAAAGTAAAAATTCAGCTTAGTGTAATTGAAGATATGTTTTCAGTATAAGATGGAATGAGCAAACTGGAGAGGAAAACTATAAACTGATGAAAGGAAAGTCCGTAATTAAATAATATTTACAGCCTTTAGTCTAAGACATTGTCAATATTTATAGGGATGGACTTGACTGTCTAAAATCCTTGCAAAGATGCAACTCAGGTTCAGGGTAAAACCTTCAGTATTCTGACAGTGTTCAGCTGTCACCGTAATTCACACTGAGACCCAGTAAGATCAAGTTATAGGAGCTGCAGCTCTGAGTGTTGTGCTTGTGAAAGAAGAAGAGAAAAAAAAATTCTGATATATTTTGATGTTTCAGGCATGGGTCCCCAGCATGCCATGCAGATTGCAGAACGCCTGTATACACAGGGCTACATCAGTTACCCACGTACTGAAACGACCCATTACCCAGAGAACTTTGACTTGAAAGGAACACTGAAGAAGCAGACCGGCAATCCCATCTGGGCAGAAGAGGTGAGGGTCACTGTGGGGCCAAGGATACATGAAAGGTTTCAGGCTCTGATACACTCAAGGTCAACCATACAGAAACAGAACCATTGTGTTTATGCTTAAAGACAGGCAGTTAGATTCAAATGCTTGAATATTTTACTTATCCATCAGGTGAAAGCTCTACTTTCAACTGGATTAAACCGACCCAGGAAAGGAACTGATGCTGGAGACCATCCACCTATCACTCCCATGTGTGCTGCCTCAGAAGCGGAACTTGGTGGGTCATACAACAATTTAAATAATGGATAATAGATAATAATTCATGTTCAGCCTTGAACCCAGATTGTTGTTCTGCTGTTGCACAGGCAGTGATGGCTGGCGGTTATATGAGTACATCACACGGCATTTCATTGCTACTGTCAGTGAGGACTGCAAGTACCTACAGACCACCATAGACTTCACCATTGGCACGGAAGCCTTCTCATGCAGCGGCAAAACTCTGATCTCAGCAGGTACAGCTAGTTGGTCACAGATTGAGCTTGTTCCTTGATCACCAAGCGGCATCTGGCACTTTGCACATGTACGTAACTCCAAACAGCAGCAAGGATTCTGCAGTACTTTGAAAAACAGTTGGATATTCAGTGCCTTAAAAAGCTTAGCTTAGTGTGAATTAATGAAAGCTCTTTTTTACCTATGTGGCCTATAGTAAAGAGATGGAGGCATCTATTACAGTACATTTGCTCATTGTCTTTTCTGTTAATGGTATAGTTAGCAATACTAATTCATGACAAATTTTGTCATATTTAGCTACATTTTCCTTATTTTCCTTCATGGCCTTCCAGTTTGTGTGCTCCACAAACCCCAGGTGATTATGTACAGCCCTTGCTGTGTAATAGGCAGCCTAGGGAGGAGGGAGTAAGCTAAATTTAGGGAATTCACAACACCACTGTGAAGCCTAAAGGGAGAGATGAATGAAAAAATACATGTTGCACTGCTTCCACTTACAGCCTACACGGCTAAACAACTGAGGAGGAGAAAGAAGAACAAAAGTGACAAAAGAAGAGCTATGATCAAGCAAGGTCAGAGACCCATGTAAACATACTGTAGGTGCCACTTTCCAAAGACGGGGAGACCTATTGCATTTAAAAGAGATGACGTCAGACACAGATGTTGTTCTTTTTTCTGATGGAAAGGTGTGTAAATTGTTGTTCTGACTTCAGCTATAGCAGCTGGAGGCTGTTGTAAGAGAATAACAGTGGCAGGTTTGCCACAAATGTGCCCCAGTTGCTAGTATTGTTGCCGCGGTAATGCATATTCATGAATTTTGAGTGGTGTGGCTATGAAACCCTAACTGAAACAGCTTGTGGACTGTATAGATGCTGATCAGAATGTAAACATTCCTTTGCTAGAATTGCTGACTATACCTTTCACTTTGAAGTGGTTGCTTGTGAGCGACTGCAAAGACTGAATGTTCCTTCCTCTGACATAAAAAGACTGGGGTTTGGGCCACTTCAGAGTGGAACGCCTTATTATATCACAGTTCTCTGTTGGCATTTACAGAATTGATATTAACATTTGAGACAATGACAATTTCTTTCAAACATTCCTTGAGGTGGTTTAAGAACAGAAACTCTGAACTTGTTTCACAATATTTTGTTTGTGTCAATGTAATGGCTCTGTTTTCATCCTATCTTATGAATTATTAACAGATTTAATTTAACTTGATAACAGAACAGGGCTCTGTAGCCAGTTTCGCCAACACTATATAGGTTCAGACTTGGCCTAGTTATAACAAAAGTGTGTGTACTAAATTACAACCATTTGCACAACACAAACTAGTTGTTACATAGGAGTTAGTTGTGACCAGGTGTAATGTTCCACAAACGACACAAAATCTTTACTAGCTAAGGTATTTCTTGATTTTAGATAGTGTAAAGTGATTTAATAAATCACTAGTAAAGTTAAGAACTAGTAATGGGTTTTCAAATAAGATGGTTCAACCCAATCCCTGCTAAGTGTGTATTCTATTCCCAGGTTACACAGCAGTGATGCCTTGGCAGGGCATCCCTCTGGAAGAGACCATGCCAGATTGTGAGCGTGGAGACACCTACACAGTAGATGAGCTCAAGCTGCTGGAAAAGCAGACTAGCCCCCCAGACTACCTGACTGAGGCCGAACTCATCACCCTCATGGAGAAACATGGCATTGGTATACAACAGCACTGCCTGTTAGACATAATTCCTGTTTATATGTTCTTACTGAAATGATTTATAATAGAGGAAGCAGGCTACAGTTAGAATCTGGGATTTAAACATGAGCAAAGAGAGCTTCAGACAATATCAGCAGGTCGACTACAATGATAGAATTAAAATGAAAGCAGTGTTAACTGATATTTTTTTTTGTTTTTTTTTTGCCACATGGGGTCAGAGGAACTTCACAACAAGATACATAATGGTTTACAAATTACCACCTGATAAAGCTGATATGGCAGTCGTCTTGGCAAGCAGTTGTCTGTATACACATACAGCAGACCACAGAGCAACGCTGTCATTCTTTTTGAGTTGTGTACGCACTCTGCACTTCTACAGAATAGTTCTGTCTTTTTTAATCTCACACAACAAAACAAAAACAAAAGACGGCCAAAGCCGACCCAGAACGGGAAACGTAAAGTCCCCAGAAAAACAGTCCAAACCAAAGAAACCCTTTAAAGCATAAGAAGGACAAAAAAAACGATGCAACAGTACTGAGCGTAATAACTGCTCACAGCGTTCAGTGAGGAGCACAGATCAGAGAGTCTATAATCCTGAGTTTTTGACATGAACACGAACTGGCGTTACTAGCAGGACAACATATGATAATCTGGCGACGAGGACGCACAAACGCCGACCCTATATACTGCTCCGATAATGGAGAGCAGGTGAGCCTTGTCGCCTGGAACGCACCCTCACCTGTGCGGGGGTGGAGCTGCTGGAACTACCTGTGCCTGCTACCGAGGTACAGGGGGCGGCCTGGGTCACGGATGTGACACATGCAGTGACAAATTGATGGAGACACTCCTCTCTGGACACCTACCCTAATAAAGATATTCACAGTTGATTAGGTCTTTTGGACCAGCATGACATGATAATGTTTTTTTTCTCAGGGATCATAATAATGGCAAACAATTTTACAAACATACATGAATCTTCTGCCCCCCCACACCCCCCACCCCACTCCAGGTACTGATGCCAGTATTCCTGTCCACATTAACAACGTCTGCCAGAGGAACTATGTGACAGTAGAAAGCGGCCGCAGGTTGAAGCCAACCAACCTGGGCATTGTCCTTGTACATGGCTACTACAAGATAGGTAATTTGCTTTATCTTACTGTGCATTCTCTTGTAATGTATCTGCAGCTGTGCATTGATTATGATTGGGTTTTCATAACATTGCTGAATCATATTTGGAAACTGTATCAGCTGATGAAGGTATTGCCATGTAATCGACCCTTTGGAACATGGAGCCAGATAGGATCATTCAGCTCATTAAATTGCATAAGCCACATGAGGAATGTGTGAGGAGTAGATATTATAGCATCCTTTAAAATGCCAGTGATTGGCTGTGTGTGTGTGTCTGTGTGTGTGGCTTAGATGAAGAGCTGGTGCTGCCCACCATACGCAGTGCTGTAGAGAAGATGCTGAACCTTATCGCACTGGGCAAGGCCAACTATCAGCAGGTCCTACAGCACACACTGGATATCTTCAAGAGGAAGTTTCACTACTTTGTGGATTCCATTGCAGGTAAGTTCACTTTAATTACAGGAGTACATAAGCACCTTTAAGGGATTGCAAAGAGGTACAATAATGGGTAAATTTTTTAAATTCATAAGAGTTTGATTACAACTTAAATAAAATCCGACTATTTAATTATTACTAAAGCTGGATTTATGCTTCTGCATCAGTGGGCTGCGATGTACCTCTGGTGGCTATGTGCATAAGTCCTGAAGTTATGTTGTAGAATGTGATGTGGCTGAGGTTGAGTGGCCTTTTATTGTGGCCAGCCTAAGGTACAATAATCATGCTGTCTAATCAGCATCTGGATATGCCACACCTGTGAGGTGGATGGATTATCTCAGCAAAGGAGAAGTGCTCACTAACACAGATTTAGACAGATTTGTGAACAATATTTGAGAGAAATTGGCCTTTTGTGTACATAGAACAAGTCATAGATCTTTGAGTTCAGCTCATGAAAAATGGGGGCAAACACAAAAGTGTTGTGTTTATAATTTTGTTCAGTGTAACTAGCTAGCTTCTTTATTTTGTTTTTGCGACAGAAATATATTAACACTAAACCATCTTATAAGATTAGAAGATAATGCAAATACTGCCTGTTTGTATAAAAATGAATCAGTCATCTTATACTCATTGCATAGGATGACTCACCTGAATGTCCCACCATGACGTTTTTGCCAGGGTAAAATCCCATTTTTGCCTGGAAGCTTTGAGAGAAAGAAAATTGCATTGTGATTGAGTTGTGAAGATGAAAATGAACAAAAAATAAAAATGCAGAATCATGTCAGCATCAAGGATGCATCATAGTTCAGTAGCAAGGTTTGAAAAGTGGAAGGGAGTTTAAGAGGAGATACAGCAAAGAGTTGAGTTTTAAAGGAACTGATGACACAGTTGTAGTGCTGATATAAACCAAGGGTAAGACTTCTTAGACATGTTACAGTTTGGCTCATTTCTATGTAACCCCATTGCACAGTATTTTTTGTGTTTTTCAGGCATGGATGAGTTGATGGAGGTCTCCTTTTCCCCTATAGCTGCCACTGGGAAGCCCATGTCTCGCTGTGGCAAGTGCCACCGCTTCATGAAATACATCCAGGTCAGCAGAACAGTCAAAACCATTGTTACAGTTTGAAGAAAACAGATACTGCAGATTTGAACATCAGCAAGACTACAATGTCTGTCCATTTTGAAAGGGACAATGTCAAAGATGAACAATACACATACAAGAACACGACACTTCTTCAAAGTGTGGGAGCCTGCCTTTTGATATGAACATGTTTGATATATAATTGGCTTAAACTCCACAAGCACTAATTTCGAAGGTTGGAACGTTTGTTTTGGAATCCAGCAGTCTCAACAAAGAAACTGATCATCATCTTGCATATGTATTATTACAGTCACATGCGTCTTAGTCCACCTTCATGCACTTTGCACAAGCATTGTTACACTTTACTTTTAAATCATCAAAGCACCATTAATATTCCTTTCTGGACCACATGATGGCTTCCTGTTGAACTGTGGCCTTCAAAATTCAATAGACATGCTCCCTTTATTACCATATCCACATAATGGTAAATGGTGCAACCTCTTTTAAATTCATGAATGACTCATGAAGCTGCAGATGTTTTTGTTACAAGGTAAAATTTGTATGAAGTCCTCTGGGAGCTACATATGATGAGGAACTCAGCCATTTAGATTGCTCCATGTGATGACGATGGCTGTTTGGTTGGTTTAGCATCATTACAATTTCAAGGAACTTTGTCATTTTCAGTCATGAAAGTTTATATTAGGAAACCATCATACACAATGGAATTTACATAGTTGTGTCCTGTTTTTGCATATATTTGAGGATGGATTGAATTAGTAACATTAGTTGTCTGAGCTCTTGTGAAACACATACATTTAGTCTTTTTGGTGTTTAGAACACACCTTAAGTTGAATATTGTCACAAGTGGCATTCAAGTACATAATTTTGATGTGCAGTATATGCATTATTCAGCTTTTAAAGCATACTGTAAGTGTCTTCGTGTGTGTGAACAGATGCACCAAAGCTCTTGAGCTGGTTTAGAACCAGTGACCTTGCAGCACAGGATATGTCTTTTTGTCTATTAGGCCATCAGAACAATGTATTTTTTACAATGGACATTGAACACTGAGCTCTCCCTACAATTAAGTTATTCACTTTCATTGACATAAATACAGTATTAACTGCCTGTAAAACCTCATCATTATGAATGATAATGGTGCTGGTCATCAGTAGTGAGTTTGGAAAAGGATGAACTATGTATTTTAGGGGCATTTTATGCCAAGTCAACAGTAGAGAAATGGCAGGAAGTCAGAGAATGACTTTTAATAAAGGTCGCATGTTTGGCAGGTTAGGTCATGTTTATATTATACTGTATTATTGTTTCAACATCTCATCTCCAGAATCTAAGTAATCAGCAACTCAGATTTAAATGCATTTGAACAAGGCAAGACACTTGTCTTGGTATTGCCATTTTTATCATGTATATTCAAAATAGTCTGCCTAATAATGGAAACACGAGGTAGAACCATAGAGTTCAGTTTATGACAGGCTCAGGTTTCAGTCAAACAATAATACTTACATTACTTTTGGTCCAAACATATATCTGCAGGCCAAGCCCAGCAGGCTCCACTGCTCGCACTGTGATGAGACCTACAGTCTTCCCCAGAATGGAGCCATCAAGCTGTACAAGGAACTCCGCTGTCCACTGGATGATTTTGAGCTTGTGCTGTGGACCTCTGGTGCCCGGGGCAAGAGCTACCCCTTGTGCCCCTACTGCTTCAGCAACCCACCTTTCAGGGACATGAAGAAAGGTAGGACAGGTCCAGAATGTTTACTTGCAGTAATGTTTGCGGTTGTTAGACAGTAGCTAATTAGCTTTGTGACCCTTACAAGAAACATGAAACAAACTATTATTAAGTCATTATTACATACAGGTTTGTTTGATGTTGCTGAGTTGTGATAAAAGAGCAGCCTTTTCCAAAAGCTTTTTAATGGGCATTTTATGAAGAAGTGTGTAATGGGAAATTTATATCAGCACCCTTTTTAGTGTATTGGCCGTTGCTATGTAGCTATTTTATACTGTTATTTGTGTGACTGATTGAATCTGTGTCAGCATGTCTGTAAAGATAAACAGGCCTTTGTGTGACGACTTTATGTGACTGAAAGCTTGTATCCTGGGTATAAGAAGACATGCAGCTCTCTGTTCTGGGAGCCTCTCTCTTCAGACTGTTACGGTTAGCACTCTGTACGGAGACTGCTCCTTCTCTGCAGGGAATAAATGCGCAACAACTTTCAGATTTGGTATCAAGACTTTATTCTGCACTCACCGAGCCTTAATAAGATCATTTTTGCCACACCAAAGTGGTAATTCTGTTTCAGGCTGTCAGCTAATTCTTGAAACAAACAACACAATCAGAGTAGTTTATTTTTTTAAGATCATATTTAACAATACAGTACATTCATTGAATATCCATCATCCAGTAATGTAAGTTTATTTTGGGTTTGCCTAGTTACACTGGAAAAAAAAAGCCAGCATAATGTTTTCATTTTACACAGATACCAGCAATCCCATATACCATGTTACAGGTGTGACATTTAATGTGACATCCAGCATGACATAGAACCATGCATGTAACACACTCATCAGAAATACAAAGTGTCCTGGTAATGCTGTTGCTATCAGATCAACAGTGGCAGATGAACAAAATGGAGGTGTGCTTTTGCTAGTCCTGCACATTTACAACATGATTCAAAATTGTTATGCATTGTGTACAAAATATTATTATGGTCACAGATTGTGTCTTGTGATCAATGGTAAAATTTAAATCCTCTGGTGGCACATCAACCATCAACACTTAACACACCTCTGCCCACAACCCCCCAAGCTGTCTTCCCCCCTTTTCACAGAGGCCGAGGCAGAATGGTTACACCAATTTTACTACCTCTCATGACAGAATAAAGGAGGGTCAACATTGACTCCCTATGCCAGCTTGGCACCTTTTACACAGAACATTGTGGCATAAGATTGGGACAACAAACCACCCTGAAGGGGCAACAGAAGGGAGGGTATGGAGTTATACTACTAGCTGAGCTAAAACCGTAAAACCCTGTTGCAGTTTGGAGTTATGGCAGTTTGTTACTGTCAAGTATTAACTATAAAACACATAATTTGCAGAAACATGCTTAAGACTGAAAATATATCTGCAAAAGTTCAATATCCTGACTTACTCACATGTTTGTGTGACCTGTATAAAACTTTAAAGTGTTGTTTTTTAGGGGTGGGTGGTGGTGTGGCCAGTTGATTTGATTTGAATTATTCTTTCAAGCATGTAAAAACAGTTGATATGACAACACACATACACATAATCCAATATCAATTTGCTTATACCTAGTATATGCTTGAATGGAGTAGGAAGAAGTCAGACTTATCCAGTCCTACCCCATGACATCATCTTACCATCATTGGTTTGCAAGCAGTAAATGATTCACTTCTACCCACACAAGTATTATACTAAAAAAA